CCCTAAGAGCCCTAAATCCTAAACCCTAAACCCCAAACCCTAAACCCAAAACCCTAAAACCCGAAACCCTAAACCCTCAACCAAAAACCGGCCGAGGTTGGCACCCTGGCCGAGTTCCCGGAGGCCTCTGGTGCCCTGGCGGCCTCGGGCGCCGAGGGTGACCTGACAGCGTTGTCTTTGTGGCCCTGAATTTGTTAAAGGGTCTAGGGTTTAAGGGTTTGTTTAGGGGTTTCGTAGGGTTTTTAGGGTTTTGGGCTTTTGGGTTTTGGGTGTTGTAGGGTTTGTTTTAGGGTTTTGGGGTTTTAGGTTTCGGGTTTAGGGCCTTTCGGGGTTTTGGGGTTTAAAAGGGGTTTCATCGTCCTTCGGCGTTGAAGGAGTTTCGTGTTTTGGTTGTTTAGGATGTATTGTGGTTTTTTTTGGTGGGTGAGGAATGATAGGGGTTTAGGGTTTGGGATTTATGGTTCAAGGTTTAGGATTCAGGGCTTTGGCATTTGGGGCCCGCTTTTGTGCTTGAGAGTTTCAGGGGTGAGGGGTAATGGGGTGTTAGGCTTTATTTTAGGCGTTGGGCTGTTCTTTCCGGCCTTGTTGGGGCTTCTGGTCCAGGGGTTCAGGGCTTGATTTAGGTTTAGATTTGAAGTTTATGGCTTTAGACTTTCTTTGGGTCCAGACGGTCGGGTGCCGGAGGAGGGCTTGGGGGGTTTTGTGTTTACCGAGAGAAGCCTCTTCGGAACTACTTGGAGGTTCATGGGTAGTTGTAAGTGGAGCTTTAAGTCCTCTAATATGGGTTATAAGTACAGTTGCCATACTTATAACCCCATAACTACCCATGAACCTCCAAGTAAGAATGTAATGAGTTCTTCCCTTTGTGAGCCCTAAACCCGAAACCCTAAACCCGAAACCCTAAACCCTAAACCCTAAACCTTAAACCCTAAACCCTAAACCCTAAACCCTAAACTCTGAAACCCTAAACCCTAAAGCGTAGGCGTTGCAAGGAGCTTCAGGTGTTTCGGTTTCGGGGGCTCAGGGCTTGCAGGTCCACAGGAGCCTTGAAGCTGCAGAGCTTCAGGATTTGTAGAACTTGATGTGTAGGATTGGGGTTCTGGGTTTAGGGGTTAGGGTTTAGGGCTTAGGGGTTATAGGGTTTAGGGTTTAGGGATTTAGGGTGTAGGGTTTAGCGGTTTAGGGTTTAGCGGTTTAGGGTTTAGCGGTTTAGGGTTTAGGGGTACTTGCAGTTGTTGTCCAACACTGGCCATTTCGTTGCGAGCCATCTGATCGTACAGTATTCCGCCTTGGCTGCACAGTGCTGTTAATTATGTGTGGCTGTGCTTGCAATTAGGCGAAGCCTGTCATTTCTCAGGGTCAACGCCAGTGTTCTTCCCGCATTCTAAGATCAGATAACGCAGACTTCTTGACGGCTCCCAAGCGAAAAAGGCTGGCCTGCCAAACTCTAGATTAACTGCCTAGGCTCGTCAGTGAGCAGGCACAGTACTGTATGTTTGGAAACCGGTTTGTGTCAGTGATAGTCGTCAACCTGTTATAGAAAGTTAATAGAATGCAGTGGTTGTGCAAGATCCGCGGCTTTGCTCGAACGGTATCCTCCTTGAACCCAACCTTCAAGCTACATCGATCCTTGCACCGTTGGTCGAATAAGGGACTTCCAGGAAGTTGGGGTTTCCTCCATGACTACCCTTCTGTAAGTTGAAAGGGAGCTGCTGGTCTGATTGGTTGGCAGCTTCTCGGCCCACAAACCAAACCAATCAAGAAAGTCACTGTAAAATCCCTGAACCCTACCCATAGGGTCCATAGTAGTTCCTTTTTGGGATTACCCAATAGGATTCTAAGTATGAACCCCAAAAAGGAACTACTATGGGGCCTATGGGTAAACCCTAAATCCGAAAAGTCGCAAAGGTACTTTCAGCTCCACTGACTCAAGCTTTGCAGCCGAACTCTCCACGGCAGCACGCCATTACTTTGAGGAGCTTGCAAAAGAAGCTGGGCTCTTCTGGCTTTGTGCAGTGTGCAGCTTATGATGATAGTGGCACTAGCAACACCAATGGCAACAGAAAAAGACTGAACACAACCCAATACACAGAGGAACAATATGGGGTCTAATGATCAGGACAGCCAGAAATCTCAGAACAGATGTAGTGGTTGGGAATTGCAGTGTTTGCGACAGAGACAGGGACAGAGTAAGCCTTGGTAAAGAAAGAGGGAGAGAGAAAGGCCGCAAGAGAGAGGGAGAGAGAGATAGCGAGAGATAAAGTCATACACGAGATAAACAGGTGGCAGGTTGACACAATTGAACTTCGTCAGGCATGACGTCTTACGTCGTCCTTGATTCATTTGATGTTGCCTCGGGCCGTTAGGATGACAGTAGTAGTAACTGTCGTCTGAGATTTACGAGCAGCAGCAGGAGGAGGAGGAGTGGTACGTGGGTCGTGGTGGTGGTGGTGGTGGTGGTCGTAGTAGTAGGACGAGGAGGAGTTGTTGGTGTTGGTGTTGTTTAGAATTTGCAGTTGCGTCTCTCAGCTGCTGGTTGCTGCTGCTGATGTTCTCTGTCGCGTTCTTGTTGTTGTTATCATTGCTGTTCCGTATGTTTTCATGTTCTGTGCAGCTAGTTTCTGCACTGCACAAAAAGCTGTAGTGGTGTGACCATTCGGTTTGACGATTGGGCTTGCAGGCGATTTATAGTTTTATAACAACAATTAATGTACCATAAGTAGGCACAAATAGATCAACTCAGAAAATAGATATAGAGGGATATATATATATATATGTGCGTGTGTATGTATGTATGTATG